TAGCAAGCGACCATCAGGGTACTAACGCTCGGTCATTAGGCTAATGGTCCTCCTTTATCACGTGAACAGCTAGTTCTGGATGTCAACAACAAACTGGTTGATCCACTATGAGAAGGTGCTATTTATAAGACTGTGTTTATTGTAGCTCCTCAGACTGACAAAGTCTTTTGGATAAAAGACAAAACATTTCAAGTTTTTAATTTTTTATTTAATAAAAAAAAGTAATATATATATATATATATATATTTTTTTTTTTTTTTTTTTTTTTCTTGAATCCCTCTAGAGGACCTGACTTAACTTTGTTAGATTTTTCTACATGGATTATTGAGTATGCTTCAGGATATTTCATGGCGCAGATGACCGTTTTCAAGAAAAGTCTAAGAAATAAATCATTGGATAAACTGTACCTGATTCAAGATGGCCACACAGCTAATGCAATTTAGCAAAGACAATCATTGCTATCACTTAGCTAGATTTTCATATATAAAGCTAACATCAATAGTAGCTCAGTCATTGGGCTTTAAGACCTAAAGCAGGCTGTGCTGTGCTCATGTCTAAACCCAGAGTTGAGCTCCATGCTCCTCTGCAGATTGTCTGGGAGCTCAAAATATGTTGAGTGTTTAAAACTATGAGCCTATAAGTCTGATGATCAGGGAATGCCTGGTTTGTGTGCAGCACCATCTGCAGAAAAATTATATCTGTGAGGCTTCATAATAAATACATCTAGGCTAAAACAGCTCCTCATTGTAAGAAGAAAAAAATGCAACAGTAGAAATGTGTGTGTACCTCGGTTTTGTAACTTGTATTTAAATTCAATTCAATTCAGTTTATAGCTCCAAGTCACAACAGATGTCATCTCATGGCACTGAACAGAAACATTCATATACTGTGTGTATATATATATATATATATACATACTGTATATATGTATATATATATATAGTTAACACAATGTATCTGAGGAGCAGACTGCACTGAATTTAACTCCATCACAAAACTGTCATCTTGAGCAAGCATGAAGGCGACAGTGGAAAGGAAAAACTACCTCATCAGGAATAAACTTTTAGTAGAACAAGAGGTCATCTGCTTTGGCTGGGTTTGAGAGGACAGGAAGGCGGAACAGACACACAATGGCAGGTCAAGATTCAGTATAGAAACAGTATCAAGTGGAAGTCTTTTTGGGGACCAAAGTGCCAATCTAATATGCTGGAACACCATTTTTGGGTTAAGGGTTAGATTTAGGGATATGTATGTCTCTGTTTGTAAGGCTGTAAACAAAGTTCATGCTCAATCATCCAGGTACCAAATCCATTAATGTTCAGTCAAGTTTCTCTTGGCCAAGCCATAACTTCTGATCGATCAAGACAACGTAATGAAACTTGACACCCCCTCGCATCATCACTAGATGGAGTGTCTTGTATAATTTTCATAACCCCAGCTCCGAGGTCAAGGTCACAAATGAAGGTCAAATTGAAAACAAGGTTTTTGCTGGTCCGGACCATAACTTCTGATCTGATAATTCAACAAAACTTGACATTAGTTTGTACCTTCGCTGCACAGGGGAACAAACACATAAGGAAATGTTTCTGGTTGTTCAGCAGACAACCTCATGACAAAATTTGGTTGTTCCACAAAGTTTTGGGATGTCTGCACTGTTTACAATAAAGGCAAATAATTTAAAAAAAGTTAATTAATAAGTTTATTGCACTTTATATACAAATACCTCCTCATCCTCTTCTTCCTCATCAGATGTTGCAAGAGAGGCACTCGCAGCAACAGAAAAAAACTATTTAGACTTTTTTCTACACCTGGAGACTATGACTTTAGTAAAAGTACACAGTATACTGTGTACATGACCTAAGAAAAGGTACAGTTTACTGTGTACAAGACCTTAATAAAAGTACTCAATTTTCTGTATACATTACCTTAATATGGAGTTTAATGTGCACATGATCTTCGTAAAAGTACACAGTATACTGTGTACATGACCTTAATTAAAATAGACAGTATAGTGTATAGATGACCTTAGTAAAAGCACACAATATAATGTGTACGTGAACTTAGTAAAAGTACACAGTATAATGTATACATGACCTTAGTAAAAGTACACGGCTTACTGTGTACGTGACCTTAGTAAAAGTACACAGTTTACTATGTAAATGAGCTTTGTAAAAGTACATATCTTACTGTGTACATGACCTTAGTAAAAGTATACTATGTAAATGACCTTGTTAAAAGTACACAGTGTAGTGTGTCCATGACCTTAGTTAAATTAAACAGTATCCTGTGTACATGACCTAAGTAAATGTGCTGTATACAGTAGTAGTATATACTTTGTAGTATAGAATGTACATGACCTTAATAAAAGTATGCAGTATAGTACTTTGTATGTATATAGTAAAAGTACACAGTGTAGTGTGTAGATGACCTTCATAAAAGTTCACAGTTTACCATGTAAATGACCTTAGTAAAAGTATACAGTATAGTGTACTTGACATTAGTAAATGCACACCGTTTACTATGTAAATGATCTTGATAAAAGTACACAGCATAGTGTGTTCATGACCTTAGTTAAAGTACACAGTATAGTGTGTACATGACCTAAGTAAATGTGCTGTATACATGACTTTAGTACAAATGCACAGGATAATGCATACATGACCTTAGTAAAAATACATAGTATGTACATGACCTTAAAAACGTGCATAGTATGTATATGACCTTCATAAAAGTTCACAGTATAATTTGTACATGATTTTAGTAAAAATACACAGTATTGCATGTATATGACCTTAGTAAAAGTACACAGTATAGTGTGTACTTGACCTTAGTAAAAGCACACAGTATAATGTGTACATGACCTTAGTAAAAGTACACAGTATAGTGTGTACATGACCTTAGTAAAAGTACACAGTATAGTGTGTACATGACCTTCCTAAAAGTACACAATATACTATATACATGACGATAGTAAAAATACACATTATAATGTTCTTTAACGAAATACCATTCAGACCAACATCATTCTGAAGGTCTGGTTTACTTTCATGTCATTTCAGTGTTTTTAATTGAGAGATTGTCATATATATATATATATATATATATATATATAATATAATATATAATATAAAATATAATCTGGACATGAGTCATTTTGGAGCTTGTCCAACTTTTACTTGTTGGTGAGACACAGATCAGAGCTGAACACTTGCAGGAGACACAGAGACAGAGAAGAGGTTTGGATTGTCTGATCAGGCAAGCTTGTTCTACAGAGAAAATAAACTTTTATTTACTTGTTGCAGCACTTATAAGGAAATCTTAAAAAAAAAAAAAAAAAAGAATAAATAACCAAAACACCAGGAGTGTCATGTATAAAGACTTGCAAGGATTTCCTATTGAAACATGGCACATGCTTAGATCAGGAAAACAGCATACGCATGAATCAAAGCACTCTTCCTGTGTTCATCCCAATCAACGTGGGTTTGAGTACACGAGGGAATACCTGACTCCTCTCTCGACACGCCTCCATTTAAATGTAACAGGCTCCATTTAAATGTGCCCCTCACCTGAGGAATCTCCTCTCTGCACTATCAAAAAGCATGTCTACATGCGGGAAAAAGAGCATCTTCATGGAACGTGAGTTAAAGCTGCTTCTAAGGGGAGGTAGAGGCTATTAAAAATATTCTGTTTTCCACACTTTCCTCTGGCATTAGCACCAAGCACAAGGAGTGAGTGGGACAATGTGTGCCAAGCTGTAAAGGCTGTGGGGTCAGAGCAGTGCACCTGCAGAAATTAAGAAAACAAGGGCAAACATATTAAGACAATTAAATGAATTTAGTCACCAAGAAGCCACCCATCCTACACCGTGCCAACTAGTACTCTGTTCCCAACCGTACTGTTCAATAGAATGAATGAATCGTGTTCAACCAGGCCACCTTGCCACCATGTTGGTTAGTTGCTTTTGCGCATCACATATAATTTACACATTGATTGAATGAAAATGTTTCCTGTTAACATATTAATCCTGTTATGGTGCTTTAATAGCAATGTGTGTGCAGTCGATAGCTCTGATTACATCAGGAAAACCGGCTGTTGCTGCAAATTGAGCTTTAATGTTGGCCTGTTCAACTCTTTGATATACTGTACCTGGTTGGCATACAGTGCAGATAATTCCCTCCCACACAGATGGAATGGCTTGGCTCAGGGTCCACTGGCTCAGTCCTGATCGGTCTGCCAGCTCCCTATGGAATGACCTTGTTGCTATAGGAACCCCAGTGTGGTCAGCAGCTGTATGTGCACGGCTCCTCGCTGTATCGCGCTCAAAGCACAGTTCTAAAAGGATTGCCTTGGGAAGTCTAAAAGAGCTGATGGACCAGACTTCATTGTGAAGATCTTCTCTGTCTCGATACATCTCTGTGTATTGCACCATTTGCTTTATCCTCTAATAAAGCTAAAGCCGTTGTTGTTAAATGTATTTTCTGCACCACTTTGTACAGTTTTTACAAACACTCATCTAATTTCATACATGTGGATGTATTCATTGTTCGTCTTGTGTGTCCGGAGTGTACAATGATAGTTTTCACATCATTAGCAGTTTCCCAGTATCACCTCCAAGTATCACCAATTAACCAATAACCATAGAAACATGCGTACACCAGCCATGAAGTTGCTGTGGGGCTGCAAACATTTACACAGTCATTTCATTCTTGATACATCTGAAGTTTTGCATGAAAAAGGGGCGTGCACCATGTTAGTGTGTACACACCCTTTGCACATGAGAGCTCAGGACTTTTATTCTGTAGTGGAAGACTTTTCTTCCCATCTTTCTCAATTCAACCTGCATGAGAGGTTTATGGAGCTAAACTCACGCTCGGACCAAACATTTAGCTGCCCATTTACAGTCACACTGCCCACGTGAATATCTCATGTATTTGAGTAAATAAACTTGGCTCTGTTTCTGTGTGTGTATGTGTGTGTGTATGTGTGTGTGTGTGTTTTAGGTCACGACTGGCTGACTTCTTCGTAAACTGCATGCCGGATCCTCGCTCACTGTCAGGATGTTTGAAGGAGAACTACGCTGACTGCCTCCTCTCATACTCGGGGCTGATTGGTGAGCTTTCTTCTACACTTCATAATTAATTGGACGGATTATTTATGAGTCCGATTTTTCTTTTTTTAAACAACTTGTCCAATTCATTAGCGTTTCTCAAAGTCTCTAACCACCGTAAGTTGAAACTTTGACATGAAAAAAACAAGTTCAAGCCATTCTAATCTGTCCTCTCACTCCTCTTGGTCCTCACAAGTCACCAAACAGTCCAGTCAAACACTAACTGTCCACACAGCGCCAATTTATTCTGCCTATTGCAAAATAAAAAAGAGCCATGTTGGCGAGCAGCCAGCTCAAGGGAACAATCCATTGGGAGAGTGAGAAATCACTGACTGAAGCTATTTGCTTTTCCTCACACAGAGAGAGAGGCTCTCTGTGTTCCAGGAGGAGAAAAATAAATGTACCCATGATTAAATTTGTTTTTAGGCATTTATCATTTAACACATGATGAGGAGGACTTGTAAAGACTTTCAAATATTTCTTGTTTGACACTCAGCAGCACATTATGCTTCAGCAGATGACAGTGCAGCCTTGCTTTGCAATGACGTTTCTCACTGCACATGCGTGAATCATGGTGTCCACCTGCTGCAGGTACGGTCATGACTCCAAACTACCTGCGCACACCCAAAATCAGCGTCTCCCCCCACTGCGACTGCAGCAACTGTGGCAACAAGAAAGATGAGTGTGACAAGTTCACCGAGTTTTTCACGGAGAACATCTGCCTCCGTAAGTCTTGCTCTCGCTGCTTTGTTCTACTTTCTGCTGTCTCTTTTCATCCCCTCTGTTCTGCCGGTGGACTCGTCTCCTCTCCTCTCTTTTCTCCATCTCTCCTCAAAACCAAATATATCCTGTTGCCATGCTTTCATTGTTATCCCACAGCATTATAGAGAAACCAGTCCCACTACAGCAGAGTGTCTGTTGTGTTTCAGTGTGTGTGTTAAAGCTGCAGCACAATGTTTCTGACAAAAAGTGGATTTATTTTTATTTCATTTAATCCAAGCCGCTTTCAGAGATTTCCCCATGTAAACTATCAAAGTTGTGGAAAAACAGGAAGAACACAGAAAACTTGATTAAAAAAAAAACTATATATATATATATATATATATATATA